CCATCTTGGCCTGAGCCTCCTAGGACAGGGAGGCCTGAAATACTCGGAGAGGGGAGACGGGCGTCCTGCAGGGGAATCAAACACCAATAATAGCTCCTGTGGATGCACCAGGGCTGGATTCAAATCTCAGCTCAGTCATTTGGAAGCCACGTGATGCTGGATGCATCACTTGCTCCCTCTGGACCGCAGTTTCCTCTTCGGCAAAATGGGATGTTTGTCATAGTCCCTTCCTGAAAGAGTAGTTGGTTGTGAGCCTAAAATGAGTTTCTTTCTTCTTTTTTTTTAGAGACAAGGTCTCGCTCCGTTGCCTGAGGCTGAAGGGCACTGGCATTATCATAGCTCACTGCAGCCTTGACCTCCTGGGCTCAAGCAATATTCCTGTCTCAGCCTCCCAATTAGCCGGGAATACAGGCATGCCTCCACATCGGGCTAATTAAAAAAAATATATATTGTTTCCTATGATCCGTGAAATATATATATATATATATATATATACATACATACATATCAGTTTTGTTTTGTTTTGAGACAGAGTCTTGCTCTGTCACCAGGCTGGAGTGCAGTGGCACGATCTTGGCTCACGGCAGCCTCCGCCTCCTAGGTTCAAGCAATTCTCCTGCCTCAGACTCCAGAGTAGCTGGGATTGCAGGTGCCCGCCACCATGCCCAGCTAATTTTTGTATTTTTAGTAGAGACAGGCTTCACCATGTTGGTCAGGCTGGTCTCGAATTCCTGACCTTGTGATCTGCCCACCTCAGCCTCCCAAAGTGCTGGGATTACAGGTGTGAGCCACCAGATTCAGCTTAAAAAATATTTTTTTGTAGAGATGGGGTCTCGCTATGTTGCTCACGCTGGTTTCAAACTCCTCTGCTTAAGCAATCCTTGGGCCTCAGCCTTCCAATGTGCTGGGATTACAGGCACGAGCCACCACACCCGATCTAAAATGTGTTTCTTTATTCATTCAACAAATGCTTACTCTGTGCCAGGTCCTGTTCTCCGTGGAGATGCAGCTGTGACAAGAAAAAGTCCACCCTCGGGCAGTCATGTTCCTTCCAGTGGGAAGATATTAACACACATAACGGTCATTAGACAGTGTGTGGTATACAGCTGGGGCACCAAAAATGTGACTGCCGTTTAATCTTTACACTCTATGGCATAATTGAGTCTTTATTGGGCTGGAGGGTGGGGAGACCCTTCCTGTCTGGAGACCCAGAGGCCTGGCAAAGGGTTCGAGTTCAGGGCCGAGGGTAAGGGGCTCTGGCCGCTGAAGAACTACACTCTGGAGAAGGCGCAGGTGTGGACTTTGCCCCAGCGTGTGCAGCTGGTGTGGCCCAGGTGTAAGCTGGGGTAGGGTGGGGTGGGGGGAGGACGTGCCAACTGGATAAGCTGGATAGAGCCCCCGATTAAGGCTTAGGTGTTGACTTTGGCAGGTGTCAGCCACTGGGGCACCCGCCCTCCCCCAACTTATGCCAAATATAACCCCTTCTCTAAGTTCCAGGGGGAAGGGGTTTTCTATGTACACAGCCCAGGTTTAAAGGCCAGTTCTACCCCCTCAATGGGTACTGCCATTTTCTATTTGTCAAAGGGGCTGGGCCTGTCTCCTTCTGCCCAAGGCTGACTCACTCCAGCCCCAGTCCACGGAGGCAGGAATGAGGGTCCTACATCCAGGAAGCCATCCCAGCCCTCTCATTAACACAACCCCACCACCACGACCACCGCTGCGCACCACTGGTCTTTCCAGGCAATCTCTCCCAGGCCTGGGCTGCTTGAATCTGCCCACACTCCAACATGCTGCTTCAGCCAGGTCCAGGGTGCTCCCTCAACCCTCATAACCTCTCCCAGGCATCAGTTTCCCCAGTTGTCTATGGCTGATGCAGGAACCCCATAGAGAGGCTGGGCAGAGGCTGAGAAAACCCTGGCAAACCTATTTCTCAACCGCCTTTGGGGCTTTTTTCCACTTTAAACGAGGACCTAATTGGCCCCACCCCGTGTTCCAGGAGAACGAGTCTGAGGAAGGGAAGAGGCAGGAAACCTTTTCCCACGCAGGGCAGGGCCTCAAGCCTGGGGTCCCCACCTCCCCCAGCCTCAGCTCCCCTGTCAGTCGGTCCTGCCTCATTCTAACCGTCTGCCGACCCTCCCTCATGCCTAGCCCCGGGGGGCTCGCCTGTCTCCCCCTTCATTAGATTTGGGGCGCCCCAGCCAGTGCAGGTGGCTCGGGAACTTCCCCCATCACCATATGGTCCCAACGCCTGTCCCCAGCCGGGCTCTCTGCCCCGCCCGCGCCCCATCAGCGCTTCCCAAGTGCCCAGCTGGGTGGGGGCGAGAGCAGAGGCGTTTCCCGCAGCCCCGCCTTTGTTCTCCAGGCCCCCCACCCTTCCCCCCAAACCCCTGTACCCCACAGACCTGCTCGAATGTAGAGGGGCGGGGCGGGCTGCGCTTCTTCCCAGGAGTTGCCTCTCGTATGGGGCGCCGCCCGCAGGAAATCAGCCGGTGGACTCGCTGCGGCCTGGCCTTGGCCGAGACCCCCGCCCCGCAGCCGCCGAAGCCCGCAGCCTGCAGCCACCCGGATCCTGCGCGGGCTCCGCCCAGGAGGCAGAGGAGGGGCCGTTCCCGGAGCGGGGGGTGGGGGAGGACCGAGCGGGGCCGAGTCTTGGGCGGGGCTTGCCGAAAGCGGGTGGGCGGGGCTGGAAGCTGCACCGAGCGTCTAGAGCCCGCCCTAGCCCAGCAGCATCTCATTTTTCCCAACTGCGTGTAAACAGCTCCTTCTATGCCCACGGCTGTTAAAAGCATGGAGTCTGGGACCTAGTTCGAGTCCCAGTTCCACCACTTTGTAATCTTGTGACTTTGGAGGCGTTACTTGACCTCTTTGAAGAGCGTTAATTTCCCCGTCCGTCAAAAAGCTCACAGCAAGAGTACCCAACCTCACTGAGTTGTGGGAGGATTATGATCTGAGTTAGTGTTTGTCAAGTGCAATGCCGGCCCTAAAGTAGGCTAGGGCAGGCGCAGTAGCCTGTAGTACCAGCAGTTTGGGAGGATGAGGCAGGAGAATCACTTGAGGCCAGGAGTTTGAGACTAGCCTAGGCATCATAAGGAGACCTCATCTCTACTAAAAATAACAAAAATTAGCCAGGTTTGGTGGTGTGTGACTGTAACCCCAGCTACTTGGGAGGCTGAGATGGGAGGATTGCTTGAGCTGAAGAGATTGAGGCTGCAGTGAGCCATAATTGTGCCACAGCACTCCAGCCTTGGCAACAGAGCAAGACCCTGTTTCAAATAAATAAATAAAAATAAATGAGAGCTGGGCTCAGTGGTTTATGCCTGCAATCCCAGCACTTTGGAAGGCCGAGGCGGGTGGACCACTTGAGTTCAGGAGTTCAAGACCACCCTAGCCAACATAGAAAAACACCAACTCTACAAAATAAAAAATACAAAATTAGCTGGGCATGGTGGTGCGTGCTTGTAATCCCAGCTACTTAGGATGCTGAGGCAGGGGAATTGCTTGAGCCCGGGAGGTGGAGGTTAAAGTGAGCTGAGATTGTGCCACTGCACTCCAGCCTGGACGACAGAGCGATATTCTGCCTCAAAAAATAATAATAATTAAAAAGTAAATGAGGCTAGGCACGTTGTCTGATGCCTGTGATAGCAAACTTTGGGAGGCTGAGGCAGGAGGATTGCTTAAGCTCAAGGGTTCAAGGCCAGCCTCGGCAATATAAAGAGATCCTGAATCTACAAAAAATTTTTTTTAACTAGCTGGCCATGGTGACACACACATGTAGTCTTAGCTAGTCAGGAGGCTGAGGCAGGAGGATTGCTTGAGCCTGTGAGAGAGAGGCTTCAGTAGGCTATGATTGTGCCACTGCCCTCCAGCCTGGGCGACAAGGCAAGACCTTATCTCTAAATACAGAAAAAAATAAAGTGGGTTGGATCTCTCTGTGAAATACTCAGGCTTTGCTGGTGTTGGAATTCCAGCAACTTCACCTCACTCAATTTGCTGAACCTCTGAACCCGCACTGCCTTATGGTAACAAAAGTAGCTGCCCCAAGAGCTGCCACGTGGATGAATGGGGATGAAGTGGGTTAGTTAGGAGGCACTGGGTTATGCTTAGTAACAAGCACCCCCAAGACTTCATGGGCCCAACAGCTAAGGTTTGGTTCCCATGATGGTGGTTTTGTGGAGAGAAAATGCAGCAAATTATGCACTGTTTTGCAGCACTTCTCCTTGGAAGGGGTACATGCCACCTCTGCTCACATTTCATTGGTCAAAGCAAGTCACATGGCCACCCCAATGTCATTGGGGTAAGAAATGATTGTACTCTTGGATCAGAACCATCTGGGGCTGGTGGCATGTACCAGTAGTCCCAGCTACTTGGGAGGTTGAGGTGGGAGGATTGCTTGAGCTCAGGAGTTGGAGGCTGCAGTGAGCTATCATGCCACTGCGCTCCTGACTGGGTGACAGAGTGAGACCCTACGTTAAAAACAAGACAGAATGCCGGGTGCAGTGGCTTATGCCTGTAATCCCAGCACTTTGGGAGGCTGAGGTGGGTGGATCACCTGAGGTCGGGAGTTCAAGACCAACCTGACCAACATAGAGAAACGCCATCTCTACTAAAAATACAAAACTAGCTAGGCATGGTGGCACGTGCCTGTAATCCCAGCTACTTGGGAGGCTGAGGCAGAAGAATCACTTGAACTCAGGAAGCAGAGGTTGCGGTGAGCCGAGATTGCATCGTTGCACTCCAGCCTGGGCAACAAGAGCAAAACTCCATCTCAAAAAAAAAAAGACAAAACAAATAATACATGATATATCAGTGGTTAACAACATGTCTGGTATACAGCCGGTGCTCAGTAAATGGGCATCATTATAGGAGAGACTTACAGGCTGCAATGCCTGATACTCCAAATCATCATGCTTCATGAATGGGGAAACTGAGGCCCTCGGCTCTACCCTTGCCTGTCCGTCCCCCTGCTTCTCATGGAGGCGGGGAAAAGAAAAGACAGCAGCCATTTCCAAAGAAGCATTTATTGGCATGCAGGGTCCATGCTAGAGGCTCCTTATTTCCAGGGCCAGGCCGGCAAGACAGAGCCCATTGCTTAGGACGCAGCCCAGATTGCAAAGAGAGGACAGGCCATGGTAGCGGAAGAAATTCTGGCGGAGAGCACTGTACTTGGGGTCCTTCTCTCGCAGCTGGCGGTAGGGATCAGGGCCCTGGTGGCTGCCTGGTACCTCCCCACCCAGGCCCCGCTCCTTCTCCACAGTTTGCAGGGCCCACATGGCAGCTGTGGTGCGGGGCTCCAGCCAGCGGGCGTTGACAGTGGCCAGCGTAAGGCTCAGGAACAGCAGGTAAAGCTGGCAGGGACAGCAGAGGAGAAGGTAAGCCATGCCTGGGAGGCCAGAGGGGCCCTAAGGAGGGCCCTTCTCAACAGCACAGGGCTGGGGGTGGGGACAGCACTGGATCAAAAGCCTGCCTCCCTGTCTTTCCTTGAACCCAGACTGAGGGCCCCAAAGCAGAGCTCCAGCTCTCCTACTCTGAAACTGGCAGCTCTGAAGGAAAGGCTCCATCCCCACCTCCTCCACCCCCTGCAAAACCTCCCGAGCCTCCTCTCCTCTGATACTGAGACTGGAAGTCCCCAGGGTAGGATCTCTTGCCTCAATGGCCACAGCCCAGACCCCAGAAGCTGACACTGGACCCACAGAGAGTGAATAAAAAGTCTTTGAGTGGCTGGGCATGGTGGCTCAATGCCTATAGTCCCAGCACTTTGGGAGGCTGAGGTGGGTGGATCACTTGAGGTCAGGAGTCTGAGACCAGCCTGGCTAACATGGCAAAACCCTGTCTCTACTAAAATTACAAAAATTAGTTGGGCGTGGTGGCACCTGCCTCTAATCCCAGCTACTCAGGAGGCTGAGGTACGAGAATTGCTTGAACCCAGGAGGCGGAGGTTGCAGTGAGCCAAGATCACACCACTGCACTCCAGCTTGAGAGACAGAGCAAGACCCTGTCACAAACAAGTCAAAAAAACCCCAAAAAGTATGTGAAGGCAGGCATAGTGGCTCATGCCCATAATCTGTAATCCTGGTGCTTTCGGAGATAAAGGTGGAAGCATAACTTGAGGCCAGGAGTTCAAGACCAACCTGAACAACACAGCAAGACTCTCATCTCTATTTTCATAATTAAGAAAAATATTTTTGCCATTCTCACGTTGCTATAACCCCATCTTTATTTTTTTAAATCTTTGAATACCTTCTGAGCCTGTTTCATTAAAATAATTAAAAGAAAGAAAAAAACAGTCTGTGAAGTTCTAGTTACCTATAATTCCCCTACTGTCTCTATGAGATTATTCTTGAAAAACCTATCAGGTCTCACTTGCCCACATCTGTGGAACATAATGCGGGCAGGGGAAGGCTAGAGTCGAGAAATCTGAGATGCAGAGATGGTTTCTTGCCTTGTGGCCAGAAAAATGTGTGGAAGCGGGTAGGAAACCGTAAATTCCCAGTCGGGCTGGTTTTTAAACAATAAGCTGGGGTTAATATCCTAGCTTAGCTGAGTCACCACCGATTGGCAGCAGGCCCTGCCAGCAGGAAGAGAGGGAACAGCAGCTAGTAGAGAGATGCTGAGGGGGCAGACAGGGCTAATAGGGACTGTTGTACAGGCTGTGCACTGCTCAAAGGTATCAAGAGCCCAGCTTTGTATCCACCAGGAAGAAGGGGCACTTTTTTTTTTTCTGGAAAAGGTGTAGCCATAGGTGCTCACTGGGGTCTTGAGAACAAGTCTCCAGAGGGTAGTGGCGTTCAAGCCCACGTACCTGGCTGGCCTCCCAGAATGTGAGCTGAGCCCAGGCGTGCTGTGGAGCCAAGATGCAGAGATTGATGAAGGCACAGCCCATGGAGATGTGGAAGTAGAAAGGGAAGAGTTTGCTCTGCACTAGGCCGAAGGTATGTCGGGGAAGGCCTCGGAAAAGCAGGAAGCCTGCAGGATATGGGGGCCATAGGGATGTTAGGGCACCTCCAGATTCCCCTCTTATTTCCATCCCCACTCCAGGTACCCATGATGTCCAAGCTGAAGGTCCCTACCTGAGACGAAGGTCACCCACATTTGCATGCCCCAGGCACCTGACAAGACCAGTAGATGGACCATCTTAATCAGGCCTCCCAGGTTCCCGCCTTCCTCCATCTTGCAGCCCTGGGAAGGAGGCACCGGGTGGCTCAGAACTTTACCTTTGCCTCGTGCGTGGCCTTCAGACCCTGTGAGCCCGCTCAGGGACAGGGTAAAGGCCAATCCATCAGAGATTCTGGCAAAGCAGCCCCGGAATGAGAGTGAGAAAGGCCCAAAGCAGTCAGGGCCCAAAGGCAACCCTCGACCCCATCTCTCCAAATGTCAGCGCTCAAGATCTCAGGCTGTCTGGACCTCAATCTCCATGCCACTTCAGAGTCCCCCAAATTTCAGCCCCAGCAGCTCCAGCTTATAACCCTAGGTTTTCAGAGACCACCCCACTAACTCCCAAATATCACCGCAGGGATCCAGGTCCGACAGCCAAGACCACCCCTTTCATAACACAATCCGAGATGTAAGGTCAAGCTCCCCAAAGCCCCCGAGAAAACCCCAAATCTCATCCCGAAGACACCAATCCCACCGTTAGGAAAAGGGACCTCAAACCACAGGGCCCGGATTCCGAGAACAGAGGCGCCGGGGCTAAACGGGCTGAATTCGCTACCTCACTCCACCGCCCCCGGGTGGACAGTGACCCCTCCTCCACCGTGTCCCCTGGTGGGTTTCCCCCAACCAAGAATTCGTCCCGCCTCCCAGCTGAGCCCGAAACCAATCGGATCGTAAATCTGCAGCTTTCTGTCCCGCCCTCTTGGGGACTAACTAATCGATTGGTAGAAACTCACCTGGGATCCCGCCCCCTCCACGGGCTTTTATCCAATTACACCACGGCTACTAAGCGTGAAGGCGCCAATGAGGCCTTTGGCTACTCCGGCAGGGGCGGAACTAAAATGCCGGCCACACCCCTCTCTGTGACTACTTCAGCCTTTGAGCTTTTTAATGCGATGGTGTCCCCGCGGGATCAAATTTCAGCATCACAGCTGAGGCCTGGCTTCGCGGTCCCTGACGGGAGATCATGAACAGGTGGTATGTGGTAGGTGGGCGTCTATAGCCGGGAGGGTGCGGAATTCACAATTCAGGGGGCGGGGCCAAGTTGATGACCCCGCCCCTTTCCCTAAATAATTTTCCCTAGAGGGACGCGGAAGCAAAACCGGGGTGGGCGGGGAGAGAGGAGACACGATTGGGGACCTGAGCTGGTTCTCAAATGCCTCTCCTTTTCGCCTCCAAGCCTCCCAGGCTTCCTACGGTCCCTAAGTCTCAGGTTCTCAGCGTGACATTTCAGAGCAAACACAGATTCCCATTACTGTATACCACGCACTGGCATGGATTAATTCATTTAATCACAACAGCCCAGTAAGGTGGATATTATGACATGCCCCCCCCTTTTTTTTTTGAGACGGAGTCTCGCTCTGTCGCCAGGCTGGAGTGCAGTGGCGCGATCTCGGCTCACTGCAACCTCTGCCTCCCGGGTTCAAGCTATTCTCCTGCCTCAGCCTCCCGAATAGCTGGGACTACAGGCATCCGCCAACACGCCCAGATAATTTTTGTATGTTTAGTAGAGACGGGGTTTCACCATGTTGGCCAAGATAGTCTCAATCTCTTGACCTCGTGATCTGCCCGCCGCAGCCTCCCAAAGTGCTGGGATTACAGGCGTGAGCCACTGCGCAGGGCCCCAACATCCCGTTTTTATAGTTGCAGACACTGAGGCATGGAGAGGTTCAGGAACGCCACCAGCATTACACAGCTGGAAGGGACAGAGCTAGGATTTGAACCCAGGCCATCTAGCTGTAGAGTTTCCCTGCTTAACCACTATGTTCTGCTGCCCCTGGAAGTGAGGACCTCCCTGAGGCAGTGACTCTTGGAGGGGCAGCTTAGGACATTTCAGGCAGAAGAAAAATGTGTACATCACAGGGTGGGTGTGAAGATCCAGTGAGGGCTTAGGGATGCCCAGCACTCAATTAGGTGCTCATAAAATAGGAGCCTAAAAAAGGATTAAGGAAGATTTTACAGAAGATATGCTGAGTAGTTTTTGTTTGTTCGTTTGTTTGAGACAGAGTTTCGCTCTTGTTGCCCAGGCTGGAGGCAATGGCGTGATCTTGGTTCACTGCAACCTCTGCCTCCTGTGTTCAAGTGATTCTCCTGCCTCAGCCTCCCAAGTAGCTGGGATTACAGGCGTGTGCCATCACGCCTGGCTAATTTTGTACTTTTAGTAGAGATGGGGTTTCACCATGTTGGTCAGGCTGATCTCAAACTTCTGATCTCAGGTGATCCTCCCACCCCGACCTCCCAAAGTGCTGAGATTACAGGCGTGAGCCACCGCACCCAGCCTGAGTAGGGTTTTGAAGGACGTGTAGGAGTCTTCCAGGCAGACTGAATCAGGGAAAGGACACCAGGCAGAAGGCCTGGCATGGGAGACAAAAGAGAAAGTTCTAGAGGATTTGGGGGAACAGGCTGAGTGTGACTCAGGGCAAGGTGCCTTTCACCTAGAAAGTCTCCAGGCAGACCTGCCCCAGTTATCTCCATCTGTGCCATCCCTGACTATACTGGAGGGGGAGGGGAGCTGGATATGAGACCGAGAGCTCGGCTCTTTCCTGTTCCCAGCCTTTTCTAGCATAGGCCTGGGCCCCAATTCAGCTAACATTTATTGAATAGATATGCCCGGCCTCTCTTGCTCACACTCTATGGCTGGCATTTACCTGTGGGGCCAGGTCCAAGCTCCTGGCTTTGCCATCAATGCCTTCCTTGAGCTGCTCTGCCAACCTCCTGCTGCTTCTTCTTGGACCTTGATTGAGCCATCACGAATGTAACAGCATAGAGCATGTGATTCCACACCTCCAAGCATTTGCACATGCTGTTCCCTGCCAGGAAATCCCTTCCTTTAAGCCAGTGTCAATATCCCTGTTTTCTTTGGGTTCTTCTGAGGCCTGATATTTTACTTTGGGGTATTCTGGGTCCTTCTCACTGCCCCGCCCAAACCTTGGGGCTGGGATCATCTTTTTTTTTTTTTTTTTTTTTTTGGAGATCAAGTCTGGTGCTCTGTTACCCAGGCTGAAGCACAGTGGTGTAATCTCGGCTCACTGCAACCTCTGCCTCCTAGGTTCAAGCAATTTTCCTGCCTCAGCCATCCAAGTAGCTGGGATTACAGACACCCACCAGCAAGCCTGGCTAATTTTTGTATTTTTAGTAGAAACAGGGTTTCATCATGTTGGCCAGGTTGGTCTCAAACTCCTGACCTCAAATGATCCTCCCGCCTTAGCCTCATAAAGTGCTGGGATTACAGGTGTGAGCCATCGTGCTTGGCCATACCTGACTTTGGGACGATGTTTCATCCAGCTTTGGCTTCTACCATAACAGAGAAGCCTTGAGTTTAGGGCTGAGACATCTCTGGAATGTCAGGGAGGGTCTGGGGGCAGTGGGGACATGGGGATTTATCTCAAAGCAGCCACTGCTTCCCTACTCACAGCGACCCTCTTTTGGCCGGCCTACCTCGGGACCCTGACTACTCTGTGTCCTGCCTCTACTCACCTCTCTCACCCTCCAGCGTGTGTTTGCCTGCTAACACGAAGTGTGAGAAGTACTGGGGTTCATGGCAGGGGGGCTGCTGTAGGGCTGGGGATGCTGGGAGGGGCTGGGAATGCAAGGAGTGCTCTGCACTGTCCCTCAAGGAAGCCCTCACTCCTAGGCTCTTCCTTGGACATGGCTCTGGAGTGTACAGCTCACTGGTCCAGGACCCCACAGCGGGAGACCTTGGGACGCCCTGCTTCTGGGGACATAGTGAGGAGTGTAGACTGGATGCCAGTGGTGGGCTCGGGGCCTCCACCATATGGGGCTCCCCCCTTCCCCAACCCAGACCTGAAGAAGGAGTGCCGTAATGACCAGGACGTTTTGAAGAGGCATCACAACGTAGCTAAGGTCACCCCCACCTAAGAAACCCCTTCAATGCAGAAAACCACGGCAATCTACCGCTGCGGGGCTTGGGGAAGGGGCTGTAAGGCAGAGGGACTCCCATGAACACACCCACTGTGTGTCTTCAGCACCTAGAACAGTGCCTAGCACTCAGCAGGCCCTCATTAAGCAAGTCTTAAATGAAGGGATGACGGAATGAATGGAAGCAAAGAGTGTTGTTGTGTGTCTTCCATGGGGATTTGGCTGTGAGCGTCTCTCAGCCACACAGCTGCATTTCTGAACATGTGTAGCCCAAGGGGGAGGTGCATGAATATGCGTGGAGTGCAGCTTTGCCTGCACTTGTGGTTTGGGACACCCAGAACTGAGGAGATCCAACTCTTGTCCAGCCCTCCAAACTGGGTTGGGGTGAACAAGGAGGCAGCTCAGGGGCAAATTTCTACTCTGCTCTTGTTTCTCTTCCTTAGAAGCCCTTGGAGACCAGCTCTTCCAAAGTCAAAGGTGAGAAAGCTCCTTCCGAATGAGACTGTGTAGGGAAGACCTGCTGGTTCTTAGCTCTACCCTCTGCCCCAGCAACAGGTGACCCTCTGCCAAGGTCACCCATTCACTCCTGCCCAAGGATCACAGGGCTGCTGTTCTAAATCTTACCCACTGTCCCTACTGCTACTCTGAGCCTCTGCTGACCTCTGCCCTGCCCTTGCCCCAGACCCCACCCCTCCCAGTGCTGGCTCACCACCCTCTCCTCTGCCCACAGCCAAAACCATTGTGATGATTCCTGACTCCCAGAAGCTCCTGCGATGTGAACTTGAGTCACTCAAGAGCCAGCTACAGGCCCAGACCAAGGTGAACCACCTTGGCCCTGTTGCCAGCAACCTCTGTTTCTCCTTGCCCTCCCCTCCTTCCTGTCACCCCAAGGTTGACCTCTTTCCCCCAGGCTTTTGAGTTCCTGAACCACTCAGTGACCATGTTGGAGAAGGAGAGCTGCTTGCAGCAAATCAAGATTCAGCAGCTTGAAGGTTAGGACTGGCCAGAGATAAGGTCAAGCAAGGCCAGGCACGGTGGCTCATGCTGGTAATCCCAGCATCTGGCCGGGCGTGGTGGCTCACACCTGTAATCCCAGCACTTTGGGAGGCCGAGGTGGGTGGATCACAAGGTCAGGAGTTCAAGACCAGCCTGGCCAATATGGTGAAGCCCCATCTCTACTAAAAATACCAAAATTAGCTGGGCATGGTGGTGCGCTCCTGTAATCCCATCTACCAGGAGGCTGAGGCAGGAGAATTGATTGAACCAGGACCTGGGAGGTGGAGGTTGCAGTGAACTGAGATTGTGCCACTGCACTCCAGCCTGGGTTACCAAACTCCATCTCAAAAGAAAAAAAAAAACCAGCATTTTGGGAGGCCGAAGAGGGTGGATCACTTGAGGTCAGGAGATCGAGACCAGCCTCGGCACAACATGGTGAAACCCCATCTCTACTAAAAAAAAAAAAAAAAAAAAAAAACCAGGCTCAGAGGCTCATGCCTGTAATCTCAGCACATTGGGAGGCCAAGGCAGGTGGATCACCTGAGGTCAGGAGATTGAGACCAGCCTGACCAACATGGTGAAACCCCATCTCTACTAAAAATACAAACATTAGCTGGGCATGGTGGTGTGCGCCTGTAGTCCCAGCTACTCAGGAGGCTGAGAAAAGAGAATTGCTTGAACCCAGGAGGCAGGAGTTGCAGTGAGCTGAGATCACACTACTGCACTCCAGCCTGGACAACAAAGTGAG